ATATATTTGAGTGATGAATTCTACTAATTTTTACTAGCCTACGTTTTTTTAATCTTTGATATTTGGATTTGTGTATGTAAAATTATATTTTATGATTATATTGTTATAATTTTTGTTTGTTATATTTCAGTAGGTACACAAAATTTATTAATAAAAAATCTGAAAAACATAAAATCTACAGTTCTTGCTAGGTATGCGAAAAACGAAACATGCTAGGTATGTAAAATCTCATACCAAAAGAAAGCTTGTGATGTTTTTTAGAGATTAAAATACTAATATACAGAGTGCTCCATTAAAAAAAATGGGAAAATTTTGTATTTTAAATAGCGATCACACTATATATTTAATAGCTCGATTTCAGAGATATTAAATTATTTAAAATAACACTACACTAGAAAATTCTTGTCATATCATTTACATTTTTATTAGCTTTGAAACATAATCCACAGCCCTTTAAATATTACCGTTTTTTTAAGTGTAAATATTTCGAAAATTGTTAACTTAAGGCATATAAAACTTTATTTAAACTCTTTATATTTTCAAAAAATAGATACATTCAAAAACTCTCTTTAATGTACGGGGAGTTTCATTAAAAAACACCACTTTGGTTCATTCCGTTGTTTTGACTGACCCTGTATAATCGAAAATAATTTTATATCATAGATGTATTTTATATTCATCAGTTTTATTTGTTATTTGAAACATCTTTATATTCTTTATAATTTAGCCGTAATCAAAGAAATGCAGTTTTCGCCGCCAAAATTGCGCGTTCATTGAGCCATAGTATAGCCGGGAAGACACTTACAGTTCATTCATGTTCGGTCTCAACAAAAGTACAGAAATTATCTAGAAGTTTGATGCATTGCATATTTGGATGCAGTTTTATTTTGCTGTTTCCAATATTTAGCACATTTATTATTTCACAATTTAAACACATGGTTTTAATGGTTTTAATGGTCCTTAATGGTTTTAACTTTAATATTTTTATATACTTGACTTTGCAATAATCTACCATTTTGCCAATAGAACTTTATCAAAGAATTTTGATAATTACAAGTTGAAAGAATTGCACACCCACACAATTTGTACATCTAATCTTATTCATTGTCACAAAATTGTCACCTTCATAAAATAAATACTCAATAAATAACATACATTTCATAAATATAGCTCTTGAATAAGTATAAATAACTTTTAAATAATACAATGGTATATAACATCACTTTCATCTAACAAGCAATCACATTACACCTATCTCTACTTCATTGGATCAAATCTATCTCCTCAAGAACTTCTCGTTTATTGTCAAACAACTACAATAGCAGACTTAAGTTCTCCATTCAACAATACATGATAGTTTCAACCATGTTCTACCATCCATCAATTAATAGAGTACCGGCATCATTTATTTAACTTTGTATCGAGACCTGAAGATGCTTTGCATATTGTAGAAAGCGAAACCGGTCGTCTGAATAGTTAAATTAAATTGATTGTGAGCAAGTCTTATTTATTATTTCTTTACCTATTTAAAATTTAAGTTTATTTAGAATTATTTCAATAAATCTATAATTGCTAAAGGTATTAAATTGATTACCAACTTATATTTTTAAGTTTATTGCAGAGAAAATGCTGAAAAATTATTTTTTATTGTGAATAAACAATGTTGAACATTTTAAAATTATTTTTTATTCTAATCATACATAATTCTGTCAATAATTTAAAAAAAAATATTCTCGAGTAAAAATCACATTTTCCTACTTTATATTCAACTAATAAAAGTTGATATCTGATGGTATATGGTATAGATCAATATATTATAACTGTTTTTATGGAAAAAGAAACCTACTTTTACTGTTTTTTCTTACAATTTCATCATATTTTCTCGAGCTTATGCGAAAGGAAAAAAGTTAATAGACGTGAAGTTAGTTTGTTAAACGTCACTTTATGTTGAAATGAACTACTACTGAAGTAGAGGTAGGGTCTTATAAAACATTTTGTATAAGAGTACAATGCAGCTTTGTTATGGGAAAATAAAACTGTTGTTTCTACTATTCTTCTTATAAGTTTATGATATTTACTCATCTGTTAGATCTTCCTAGGACTTTAAATAATTATTTCAAAACCAAAATAAGTCAAATCGATCAGTCGTTCTCGATTTATTATAAAAAAGTCATAAAAACATAAAATGACATTTTTTTAAACCTCATTTCATGATATATTATATGAGGGGTCTAGATGCAAAACCGGACATTTCCACTATTTGGTCAAAATTAGTTGAATATACCCCCGTAATCAGTGATTAAAGATCCATTATGTAGTTGCAAAATATCACAAAATGTTAACAAACGGATCAAATGTAGTGATAAAGTCGTATAAAACATTTTGAATTTTCAATTAAAAAAATGAGTATCATTCATGGAGATAAAAAATACCGTATCTTCTAAGTTGGACCAACAAATACTCTTTAACAAAATTTTCTTGCAATCGGTTCAGTGGTTTTTGAATATTAGCTTATAGACCAAGAAATAGAGGTATAAAATGATCAGAAATTCGTAAAAATTACTGGACGCGATTTTCCAGGTGGAAAGTGTTGGGGAAGCCTATGCAACAAGCGTCTCATCTCGTGAGTAACGTTTTTTTGGTTGGAAAATTGTTTATTTTAAACTTTTTTGCAAAAAAGTGGTATCTTTTTGTTCGATTCAATATTGCGAAAAACCCACGAGGGTTGAAGAAAAATGGTCCACAGATGATTTTTTCCTCGAGAACTGACGAAGATTTTAAGACTTGCTAAATTGAAATCCATAAATAAATAAAAAAGTTATTGCAAAATTAATCCAAAAAACATTGTTTTTTACAATTGTTTATAACTTTTTCAATAATGTATAAATTCATTCAAAACTTTATCAAATTATGGGTTTTCAAGTACTTAAACTGTGTGCAAAAGATGGGCGCAATCGGTCGAGTAGTTTTTGCAAAATCCTAATTGTTTATCCCGTTTTTTAAAAAAAGGGTCATTTTTGAATGGACGTACAGCTGGCTGGGTGGCGACTAGGATGCCATTTTGGCTCATTTTCTTCGTTTGGTCGTCAACTATCATATACTTAAAATTAAAAAAAATATATTGTAATTTACTTATTGAAAATTGTTAATAAACGAAGTACACTTTTTCGCCTTATAAACATTTAGAATATCTCGGTTGTTTTTGAATATACAAAATAGCCAAGCATACCATTCGAAAGCTGGTCAAAAAACACACATTAAAAAAAAAGAACTTCCTACGACCAATAGAACCGGAAATAATTTTTTTTTTTTCAAAAAATCGCAGACCAATTGTTTATAAACATTAAGGGCTGAAATTTGGCCAATATTTAAATAAAGACCCAATCTTTAATGTACAATTTATTTCGTTTTTATTTGAACAAACCAAAAGGTTTAAGAGCGCTTCAAAAGAAGTGCTCGAAAAAAAAACTATAAATTCTGTTCGATGAGTCATCATCGACTTTTACTCATTTTCAAATCGGAAATAGAACTTCAAATTGGACGCGCTTGAAAAAATTGCAATATTTCGGGCTCCAGAAGGGCTAGAACCTTCTTTTTTTTAAACTGGGATAGCTCGTCGAGAGAAACTCAACTGGCATATTTTCACCCCCTATAAAACTACCCCCAACCCTCCAAAAATTCATTTTTCATAATTATTTTTTTATATCGTTTTTTTATTACTATTTTTATACATATGCTTAATAACACATTTATTACTTCTAGGCATTATATCTACCCTTCAGTTCACACCCCCTCACCCCAAAATTTTTTTTTGTATTTTTTAAAATCTTTCTTTTTTTCTTTTTTGTTAGCTTAAAAAAATTATTTTAATAATTCATAAAAATACCTCAATGAATTATTTTTTTGAAATTATATTTAGTATTTTAATGATCTTAAAAAAATTTAATGTTTATAAACAATTGGTCTGCGAATTATTTCTGGTTCTATTGGTCGTAGGAAGTTCTTTTTTTTTAATGTGTGTTTTTTGACCAGCTTTCGAATGGTATGCTTGGCTATTTTGTATATTCAAAAACAACCGAGATATTCTAAATGTTTATAAGGCGAAAAAGTGTACTTCGTTTATTAACAATTTTCAATAAGTAAATTACAATATATTTTTTTTAATTTTAAGTATATGATAGTTGACGACCAAACGAAGAAAATAAGCCCAAAATGGGCATCCTAGTCGCCACCCAGCCAGCTGTACGTCCATTCAAAATGATCCTTTTTTTTTAAACGGGATAAACAATTAGGATTTTGCAAAAACTACTCGACCGATTGCGCCCATCTTTTGCACATAGTTTAAGTACTTGAAAACCCATAATTTGATAAAGTTTTGAATGAATTTACACATTATTGAAAAAGTTATAAACAATTGTAAAAAACAATGTTTTTTGGACTAATTTTGCAATAACTTTTTTATTTATTTATGGATTTTAATTTAGCAAGTCTTAAAATATTCGTCAGTTCTCGAGGAAAAAATCATCTGTGGACCATTTTTCTCCAACCTTCGTGGGTTTTTCGCAATATTGAATCGAACGAAAAGATACCACTTTTTTGCAAAAAATAAACAATTTTCCAACCAAAAAAACGTTACTCACGAGATGAGATGCTGTTTGCATAGGCTTCTCCAACACTTTCCACCTGGAAAATCGCGTCCAGTAATTTTACGATTTCAAAAACTTTATTTTCTCGGTCTATTGGACAAACATCGTAACACTAGATATTTTATATAAAGATATTTATAGCGGCTACCGATATCTGAAAGACGAAACCTAAAATATAAACTATTATGTGGTGTATTCCCAAAGAAATATTTGATAAAAAAGAATCTTGGAAAATTTTATTTGTTAAATAACTGAAAAATTAATTAAATTAATTTCTTTGTCAATGTAGATTATTCCGAATTAAAACAGTCAAATGTAATTAATAAAATTAATGAATTCAATTCAAATATTTACCTTAACGAATAATACCACTAAACACCACTTCAGAAAGCACTTTCGATTACTGACTGAAACTGAAGCGGGTCATCTTCCGTATATTATATGTAATGGTGGGGCCGGAATAGAAGAAGAGAAGAAGACTAATTATTGCAAACGCACCGCGTGCATCACCTTTTCATGAACCTTATGCATGAGTACAATAAGACCGGTGCATGGGGTAAGCTCCCCCACACATACGGTCTTCTTTACCTTGACCTCCCAACGCTAGCACGGTACCGCCGAGATTCCCAAGTACGACTTCAATGATACTGCTTATTGGAATTCTGTGGAGAAAGCATATTGATGAGCTCGAAGCACGTTTACCGCTTTTGGTTTTAGCTATAAATTACGTATATTATGATATTATTAAGAAAGCTGAAGTCGTAATTTTTGAAGCTTAATTTGATACAACTATCTTATAATTAAAAATCTTTTGATTAATTATTATGAATTAAAATTAAGCTAAGAAACTCATTTCTATGAATGTCACTTTAGTTAATGAATTAGTTTTTATAAAAAAACTGTATTAATGTCATGAAAAAACTAAAACCACAAAGTTTTAAGTGTCTAAGAAAGTTTAAAAAGGAAATTAATTTCTAACAACAATTGTTTGAATAAAAGTTGTATAATGAGGTTTAACAAAAAGGGACTTCAAAAATAATTTCTTAATCAATACCAAAGATAGGATGAATACACTTGATAAACGTGGTATTAACAAATAAAAATGTGATAATTGTGATGCCTCTTATGTAGGTAGAACCATCAGAAAGTTATCCACTAGAGTCTCTGAACATTTGAAAAGACCAAACTCTTCAAGTTTTGGTCAACACTTAGTATCCAGCAACCACAATTTTAACATCAATTCTGGTTCATCTATCTTACATGACATTAGTAGAAAGAAAAACTATCTTGAGTTGGATTTATTGGAAGATTTGGAGATTACAAGGGAAACAAATGAAAACTCTCACTGTCTTAATACTCAAATTAATTTAAATTGTACTAAATTTAATCCTATATTTAAAAACTTTATTACAGCTTCACCTAGTAGAGGACCCAGCTCGACTGTTTAGACTTCATGCACTGAGCATTTCAATATTAATTTTAAAGTTCTTCCATTGACTGTGGATTCAACTGAACTACTTGGATTATAACCCATTTATATATCTTGTCTTGTTTTTGTACTATTATAGACAGGTTTGAGTGTGAGATTTGGATTATTCAATCTACTTAAAAAAATATACTATATAATTTTATATTTCATCAGTTAATTTCCTATAGTAATGTCAGTTGGACCTTTGGTCAATACTTAGTTTCATAGAATTTTGAAAGGTGCAGATCACATACCTATTGTAACTGCCCTTTACAAGCTGTCATTTGTCACATGTCATCTCAATATTTCCGCCAGACCTGGAGCCATTCTGTCTCCGGCTTCTATATAACATGTAGCTTCTCCATTTTTAAAAAAATCTTAAAGTGTTTGTTTGTCTTTGTGTATTGTATTGTTATGTCCAAATTTACATGTATGACATTCTGCTCATGTCGGATAGGCCACAACTGACGAAGTAAGTCTATAAACGTTTATCACATAAAAACTTTTTTCAACCATAAACTTCGAGTTTTTTATCGAAGTGAATTAATTTTCCTTGTCTATAAAAAAACGTTTCTTGGCTTATTTCAGATGCCCCTGAGGATGATCTATTGATCGAAAGTACTTGGGCAAGATTTAATTAATTACTGTGTTCGATATTTGCCTTGTATACCATCAAAGTTGAATTATTCGAACATTCAACCTTATATTGAAAAAGGGACTTCTTCTTCTTATAGTGCCGTGCACCTATAGTGCGTTGGCGAATTATCTTAAGGACAGACGCCTGTCTTTTGCGGCATGTAAAAGATCGCTAGTGTTATTTACGCCTGTCCAGTTCTTTATGTTCCGTAGCCACGACATTTGTTTGCGACATACTCCTCTCTTGCCTTTAATCTTTCCCTGGATGAATATGGCCGAGGTATCCAATTTTTCGTACCTTGATCAAATTGAGTAGTCCTCTCTCAGTATTTGCCTTTCTTAAGACTTCCTCGTTTCTCACCCTATCTGTCCATGGTATGGGAAACATTCTTCGCAACGTCCAAATTTCGAAGGCCCCAACTTATTAATGGAAGGTACTCTTAACGTCCATGTTTCCATGCCGTATAACAATATGGACCATCCATAGCATTTAACCATCCTGTAACGGAGATTGAAGGAAAGATTGCGGTTACATAGTAGCGGTTTAAATTTGATAAAAGCTTGTCTTGCTTGTTGGGTACGGCATTTTATTTCTTGTTGAGGATCCCATTGGTTATTCATCATCATTCCCAAGTATTTAAATGTTTTCACTTGATCGATTGGAGCATTATCTACTTGCAGTTGTATTCTTAAAAGTGCGTTTTTTTCTTATTGCCATGCATTTAGTTTTTCCAGCATTTATCTTCAAGCCATATATTTTTCCTACGGTGTTTATTTTATTTAACATCAACTGCATATCATGTTCGTTGTCTGTTATTATCGCGGTGTCGTCGGCGTAACGAATGTTATTTATCGGGAACCCGTTTACCTTTATTCCACACTCAGAGCCTTCTAGTGCCTCTGCAAAAATGTTCTTCACATAGAGATTGAAGAGCATAGGAGACAAAATACACCCCTGTCGCACCCCTTTTAAAATTTCAAATTCTTCTGTGTTGGTTGATTTGTTCAGTCTCACTCGTGCTTTTTGATTCCAATAGAGATTCTGGATAACTCTTATATCTTTCTCGTCAATGTTAGCGTTGTGTAGCATTTTTATCATTGCGTCATGTTTTACGCTGTCAAATGCTTTTTCATAATCGAGGAATGTTATGACTATATCCTTTCGTTGATCCATGCAGTTTTGTACAAGCGTATTCAAGCAGAAAGCTGCTTCACGTCCGCTCTTGAAACCAAATTGTGTGTCACCGCTTAGATCTTCTAGCTTTCTGAACATTCTTGTTTAAAGGATGCGAAGAAACACCTTAAGCAAATGGCTCATTAAACTTATTAGTCTGTGGTCTTTGCATTTTGTCGCTCTTTGTGATTTAGGGATCATATAAAGGTTGAATAAAGCCAATCCGTTGGAATGTGGCCGGTGTTATATATGGCATTGAAAATTGTTACCAGCATGTCGATGTTATCATCTTTCAACAGTTTTATGGCTTCCGTAGTAATTTCATTCGGTCCAGGGGCCTTGCCTAGTTTTGCTACTTTTATAGCGTACTCCACCTCGGCGCGAATAATGGGAGGCCGGATAAATTTTCAATGGGTAAGTTAGTAGTTGGCAGATTCGGTCTATTATCCGCAAAGTGGGACGAAGCATAGTTTGCCCAGATTTTAGCTAGGTTCTTCCTGGGTATGAACGTAGTTTCCCTGATTATTTTTCAGGCGAGTCCCATGGTATTTCTTGTATATACTCGAAATTTCTTTGACCTTTTTATGTAGTCCAAAGCTGTCTCCCTTTTCTTGGATTGATTCCAATTGTTCGCAACGTTCTTTCATCCAGCTTTCCTTTGCGTTTTTAATTCTTGCCCTTATCGTACGTTGGATTTTCTTGTATTCCTGTTGATTATGATGTATTTTGTACTGTCTGCCTTGCTCCATTAGATCAAGTATCTCTTCCGTCATCCACTCGTTTTTGTGATTTCTTTTTGTTTTACTTGCGGCTACTTCGTCAGCCTCGACTATAGCTATTTTTATTTTCTGACAGGTTTCCTCTATGCAATTTCCTTGTATGTTTCTCAAGTTCTCGTTAATGTGCTTACTGTATATAGATCTAAACTCTTCATCTCATTAATTCTCTAGTGTTTATATAGTTTGGCGATTTTTATTCGCGATTAGGGAGTTGTGGTCAGACGAAATGTCCGCACCAGGGTAAGCGGCCACTCTTTTTATATAGTTGCGAAATCTTTTGTTTATCATGATGTAATCAATTTGATTTCGTATCATATGACCTGGACGATCTTCTGGTGCTCGCCATGTATGCATAAAAAGGGACTAAACAAGTTCAATTGGTTATAAAAATATTCCTTATTTTACAGATATCCCTAGAATAAAACAGTCGTCAGAGATTTGACCCCTAAAAATCATACGAACAAACTGAATTTTGTCTAGAATATCAATTTTTGTCCCCAAAAAAGATGCAAAAATGTTTACCACTTTAACCCCCGGGCTTCTCGGTAAAAAACCCCCTCCTTGAAGGAATAAAAACGAAAAAAATCTATTTACCAAGACTATCTACGCGGTAGAAAAAAATGTAGCTGAGATATAGAATCATCCGTAGAATCAACTGTTCTCTCAAAAACAATTCTTAAAGCAACCGGCGATTGCCGGTTGAATGTCAGTTACGCGCGCGAAATTAATGTTAAATAAAATTTGTATCAGCTCAATGGTAAAAACTCAATATCTTTTGATCAAGTGTCCTATCGACAAATTGATCAAATTGAGTTTTAAAGGTAAAGAATGCAGCTTTCATATGCAATTTTTGTATTTTGCCGCAAATAAAGTCAATTTCTATAAAGCTGTTCAATAAATAAACTTTGCGCTATTTTGCCATCTTTACGATTCTTGTGAGATCAAAAATACTTATTACTTTCATTTAGCGGTCGTAGTGAAACTTCTGTTGTTGGTAACCAGTCTTCAAAACCTACAACGTAAAAATTTGATTTTGAGTTTTGGCAACAAATATTAGGCATTTGAAGCATGACTAAAAACGCAGAATTTAAACTTTTACAGTACAAATGATCGCACCTCACGGAAAATGCCTCCAAGAAGACGGTTTTTCGTGTAATTTATAGCATAAGTTCAGTACTTTTGAAAAATGTACTAATGTAATTAAAAAGTAGCTGTTTTAAATGTTTTAGATCGTTTGTAATGTGAAAGTTTAAATTCAGGATTGTTGCCAAAACCAAATTGTATGCTATAGATTTTGAAGATTATTCTAGTTAAAAATGGCAAAAATCGCGCCGCGTTTATATATTTAACACCTTTATAAAAACTGAAATCATTTGCGTAAAATACAAAAATTGCATACGAA